AACAAAATGTACAATGTTCCCAAAATGACAGTGAGTTTTCATGACTCTCTGAAGTCTGCAAATCCATTGAGTAACTCGATCACTTCTTACCCTGCAGTTTAATCAAACTACTTTTTGCCAGACTTCTTTATTCCACCACTGGCTGCCAAAAGAAACAACACAGCTGGTTAGATGACTGTGACACAGTTCAGCTACAAATTCAGTTCCTCATAAAGTCGATTCCCCCCTTGGGCGTCTGTACAGCCCAGATCCCCACTGGTTTTCATCTCACACACTTTACTCTGAATGAGCGACTGACTTAACATTAAAAACTAAGTTTCTCCGGGAAGCAAATATGCCCCATTAATCTACAACAGAACTAAATATTTCAAGAGTTACTTTGTTCCTCCATTGTTAATGTTTATTTCTTATACAGCAGGAGCATAGTCTGGTCAAATCAAATTCGAGGCTAAGGAAATAAATGCATCATTATCCCTATAGCAACCAAAGCCAAAAGTTGGGATCAAAGGTCTACAGAAGCAGGTACTGGAATAATGAGAATTCTAGTTCTCTGGAATTATCTGTTCCCTGCAGTCTTATTATTGAAGACCCTAAAGCAGGGTGAAAGAACACCACGTACTGACACAGCAACAAGTGTGGCATTTTTTGTAAATGCTGTTTTTTACCCCATGTGTCAGGTACAACCAGTGGGAAGGGAACAGCAAGGCTGCACCAAGACAGGCTGCAAGGCCTGAGGGTCAACAACAGTCTCTGCAGTGCACCATGATTCCAGCAGCATTGCCTTGCTGAGGCTCATGGGAACAGGCTGAGCCTGCCACAGTAACACAGCAATCGTTACCTGCTTTGGCAGGCATCAGACAAGGACCACATGACTGACATTCAGCCTAGAAAAAGGCAGAGTAATAATGGCAGGAAAGAACTATGAAGATCTGTGACTTGAAGCGACCTACACAGAACGAGTTTAGGATGGTAAGGACAGAACAGAGGTTCAAGGAATTCTTTTCCATCGCTCTGTAACACCAAAGACATTCTGAGTCCCACACCCACACATTTTTTGTACAGGGATAAATGAGAAGAGCTAGATCAATCTGAGATAAACAAGAACCATCCCAAGTCAGTGGGACTGGATGGCACTTCCTCCAACAGCACCAACAAGTTCTAACGAGAAAATGCAGAACTGCTGGCTAAGATTTGAAACATCAGTACAGCCACAATGTCAGAGGACTCACTGACTGCCAGCAAAGCTCCCAGATACTGAATAGGTTCTGTAAAGAACTGGGTAACTACAGATGCAGTCTGACCTTGATCTGTTAGAAGATAAGAGAGTCTGGAACAAAGCAAAGGGATAAACAGTGTTGTGAAAGTTAAAAAGGACTTCTGTAAAGAGTAAATCCTTCCTCAGTGACCTGCTGGAACTCTGAGGTTATAATTAGGTGTATGGATAAAGTGACTCCATATCATCATAATTACATTTTCACACAGCATCCAACAAGATTCCATAGCAAAGGCTGTTAGTGAAACTATGGGACTATTGGAAAGGTCTTTCTGGGACCTTTCAAGACTGAAAGTTTGCTGAAGAATAGGAAGCCAAGTGTGGAGTTGGACAGTCTGTGAGTGCAGACTCACATTAACAGTCTCCTGCTGTCACTGAGACAGAGACCAGGTTCAATGGGCCACCAAGATGCACCCTGTGAACTCTCCTCTGTGACACCACATCCTTTACAGTCTAAAGGCAAAAAGGTTGAAGCCAGACTGATTTCCAGCCATCTTTTTTTTTTTTTCTGCCATGAATCTCCCGCTATAGAAGAAATTCATCCTCTCAGAGGACAAGCACTGGATTTGTTAAACCTGGGACACTGTGGCAAAGCCTACATATAATACACCTGGAAAGAAAAGGCTGGTATGCTAAAATGAGAGTAGGAGTGTCTCTGCACATCCCACCAGAACAGGTCAGCGTGCCAAACGCAGTGTTTTACCTGCTAAACCAGAACCTGCATCAGGAATTTGGGGGTGAAATTGCACAGCCAAAGAAAAGAAAGAAAAATAAATAGCCTCTATTTGTTACATATAATCTGTACCTGCCATCAACTTGCTGGTCTATGTCAAATAACCCAGAGGTACCTGCCTTTTCATGTTTGTCAAGAAAAAACATTAAATTTTTGAAGTCAGCAAGTCCTCCATCTCTCCTGTCAGGATGGCACCTCACTTACCCAGAGGCCCTTTTCCAGCAGCTTTTGCTTTCATCTCCTCAAGTTTCTTTTGCTCCTCCTTCTGCTTTTGTTTGAATGCCAGATCTGTCTAAAGGAAAGAACAGCAGCATTTGTTAACATCTCTTCCCCTCATCCAAAATTGAAGAACAACTGACAAGCACTGAGAAACAAACGTAATGCTCAGCAGCAACCAACACCTGACTGGACTGAGGCAGGATGGCTGAATGCTGCTAAACGTGCAAAACTTCGCAGAACTATCACCAAGGTTTTTGCTGTACCACAACACAATGGCTAAACTTTAACTTTGTATGTTTGGTCTTTCTGGAATTATTTCCCCTGGCATAACCTTGTTCTGAGATTATGATCCCTCTCAATGACAAAGGTTTGCACTAACACCATTCACTAACGTGCCATCAGTGGCACATGCAGCCTGGTGCACAACAAAACTTGGGATTACACAGGATGTAAGTAAAAAGGTTGCTTTTACCTAAAAAAGCATTAATTTCAAATAAATCTTCTCACACATGTCACCTTTTGCTGGGTTTAATATATTTGTATTAGTTCCAAGAAATCTATTGAGACTGCTGGCAAAATGTACAGGCAAGCCAGCTGTTGAGCATCCCTATTGGAACAGCCTCTGGAATTCAGGACAGCTCAGACATACTGTGTCCCTCAAACACACATTCTTAACAGATATCAAGACTGAAAGGGAACACAGTTTTTTTTCTTGGCCTTCAGGACTTTGGGTAACTAAACTGAGGACCTTGACAAATGAGATTCCATGGACTCTTCACCAATCCAGTCCATGTCTCAACTACCTTTGTAACTGCAAAGCTTTCCTCTTCTTTCAGTTAAAGCTTCTCTTACTGCAATGTCACCCTATTACTTCTCCTACCTACTCCTCACAGAACAGAATATTCCGTTTCTATCTCCAGGTTCTCCTGTTTGTTGTTTTATGTCCTGTAGGCTAAAGTGTCTTTCCTAATAAATTAATCCCTCACGTTTATTCACTTCTGTGGGTTTTTTTCTTGCAATGTGTTGCCCCTAAGTACTTGCAGTACTGCAGGGCTGAGAGGAAAAATAAATATTACATCATGTTTAACACACAAGACTTTTTTTAATATATCTTTATGATTTTCTTCTTTTGCAACACCTGATTTTGCAGGTGTTCAGTATACGATCCTTTCATGTGGACCTGCAGTTTAGCCAGTCATTCTGCTCATATTTTATAACTTCATCAATCTTTTCAAAGAAAGGGACTTAGCATATATGCTTAATTAAATAATCCATTTTTTTCAAACTTTCCCCGATTTGTTAAGATTTCTTTGAGCACTAGTCTTGTCTCTGACAGTCTGTGGCCCCTCCAGATTTTCTGTTTCCTGCTAAAAGAATAAGCCATATTGTCAGTCAGTCAACCACCCAAGACACCAATCAAAATACTACTCAGATTCTGATCAAATACAAAATCCTTCAAAACCTCACTCAGCACATCCTTGCAGACAATGCTTTGAGAGTGCAGCATTTCAGCAAGCTGCACCATCACCTTCTATCACCTTCCAAGGCCCCATTCTTGCCTTGCATTTGAGAACACTACATGAGTTGACAACAATAACCTCATATCTCCTGGGGTTTATGCTCATGCACTGCCTTGCTGCAGGAGAGAACCTCCTTTGTTTGCCACAGTTTTATTAAAATCCACAATGGCTATTAATTCTTATATTACTATAACTTGGATCTTTGTAAGCCTTTAATTGGTTCTACCATTTCTCTAACAATAAAGCTTATTTAGGAAGCTATGATTTTTTTTTCCCCTTTTTTCAAGAGACACTGTATTTGCCTTTTTCCAGTCAGTGGTGCCTCATCCATCATCCACTATCCTCAGAAACAGCAGCTGACACCCATACTCTGAGCCCTTATGTTTGAGTATCTCTAACACACGATCCACTAGCACTTAATTTATTCAAACTACTCTGTTTGTACCCTGTCTCAGGCTCCTGGGACCAGAGTGATTATCTGATAGACTTCAGATCTCAGCAAGGGCATTCCAGGCTACTCCATTAGCCAGCACTGCCACATCCACCAGGAACAGGGGGGGGATGCCACCGTAGAATGGTTTGGGTTGGAAGGGACCTTGAAGATCATCCAGTTCCAACCCCCTGCCATAGGGAGGGGCCATAGAGAGGGCCACGTCCAACCTGGCCTTGAACACTTCCAGGGATGGGGCACCCACAACTTCCCTGAGCAACCCGTGCTAGGGCCTCACCACCCCCGCAGTGAAGAATTTTTTCCTAATATCTCATCTAAACCTACTCTCTTTCAACCTGAGGCCATTCCCCCTTGTCCTGTCACTGAGATGCTCTTGTAAACGGCAGGGAACACCCAACGCAGCCGGGCCCGCCGGGGCTGAGCCCCCGGGGCCTCCCCCGCCGCCCTACCTCATCCAGGTCCTTCGTCTGCTTCTTCGGCTGCTTCAGCGGCTTCTTCTTGCCGCCTGCAAAGACAGAGGACACAGTGAGGGCCGGGCGGGGCCGGGCGGGCGGTACCGGGGGGTCCCGGGCCCGGCCTTACCCTCCCGGCCCGACATGGCTCCGCTCGCTCCGCCCGCCGCTCCCGCCCCTTCCGCCCCTTCCGCCGCCGCTTCCGCCGGGGCCGGGGCAGGTACGGGAGCGGCGGGGCCGGGCCGGGGAGCGGCGGGGAAAGGGCCCCCGGGAGGGGACGGAGGGGGTCGGTCATGGGGGAAAACCCGGCTGCGGGTTGGGGGCTCGCGGCGGGAATTCTGCGTTCGCCTTTTTTTTGGCCGGGATGAGACGGGACCCGTAAAAACGGGTCTGGCTCGGCACCGGCTCTCGGTGTGTGCGGCAGCTTTTGGAGGCGTGTTTGTGAAGGGCTGCAGGCGGAAAAAGCGTTTCTTACCAGGGAAGCAAGAGGGGAGCCAGGCAGGTTATCTCAGGTTAACCTCTCGTAACTTTCTTGTGTCCTGTGAGCTCAGGCTGAGATCACTCTCTTCACTGGCTGTATGTGACTTGTCTGCATAGAAATTCTCCTTAAAATCTCAGCTTTCTCCCTCTTTTTGCTATACTCCAATAGGCTGAACTTTTGCTAAAGCTCTTCGTGTAGTAATGCGATTAAAAGAGGGGAATTTTGCAGTCTGGAACAGGCAAAGTTGAGCCGAGGTTTAGTACATGGCCTGCAATATAAGACTAGGTGTTGTAAACAGGGACATGTGTGAGTGATGCTGGAAGGAGAGAGAACTCACTTCATTTCCATGCCTTCTGGGTTTGATCTTACGTGTTATGCATATAAAACAACTGCTAAGGTTTTCATAGTGCCACTTGGCGTTATTACTATTTGTTAGAAATACTCAGCAGGGAATGAACTTGTGGTGTTCAAAATTAGCTAGCCAGCTAAAAAGCTGATGAAAAACTATTTTCCAGTTGGAACAACCCTTTCTTGTGGAGATGCCTGTATAGCCACCTAAAATTAACATTGTTTTATTCTTTTAAAATAATTAAAAATACTCTGCAACAGCTATCAAGCTTTCTCAGTAATTCCTGGTTTTATATTTTATTAGTCAAAACCTAATATAGTCATACTCAAATTTCATATTAAACCTTATTTGAAAGTTTTCCTGTTTCCAGTTTTTGGAGGAATGTACTCAGTAGAAAATTAGGATCATATTTACAATAGTAGACAATAAACCATAACTAGCAGCCTGCTTTTGCAGTGTAGGCAAGAATTTTAAGCTCATTTTAATATGCAGCCCAGCTGTGTGTTCATTATATGAGATTTTTCTGATCTTGTGGCTCTTCCTTTTGTAGGAGGTGCCTTTTCTAGGCACTGTCATGGGAATACTTCTTGTGTTCAGTTCAGCATTTATGTGTTTTTTATTTAGCTTTTATTTTTTGTCCGCGCACCCTTCAACACGTCATGTATCTGGCACAGTGTAAGATAAAGGAAATGATCGAGCCACACCACTTTTATTAAGAAGATTTTTTTCCCCTCTCTGTCTTTTTTATTTTTCTGTCTTTTGTAGAGTTGTGAGTACCTGTGAAACCAGGTGTGAAACCACAAGGCAGAATTTCATAGTGCAGTCACTGCTGTGCTGAAGCACTAAATTCTTCTGAAGCTACTCCTGCTGGCCCTGGATCTGCACATGACTGGTGTTCACGCCGTGAGTGAATTAATAATCAAGAAGCATGAAGCATGGTGGGAGTACTTCCTAACAGCAGAAAAGCAGGAATCTGTGGCACAATTGCACTTTATTGAAACAGTGGAAAGTTTTCTAGGTAAGCAGTGGTGTAAAACCAGCAATGGTTTAGCCATTCTTGAATTGGTTGGTTTTGGTACACATGTAGTTAGTTTTAAGAGCTATAAATCAGCTATACTTCAATAGCTTCTATTTTTCTTCTTCTTACTTGTAGCACATTTACTCAGTGATTAAGTTGAAGACATGGGGCCAATGAAATATAAATCAAGTGTGTCCTCAGTGTCCTGTGGCCTGCAATACCACCATTCGTTGATGAAGTGGAGTCCCAAAATGAATTTACATGTAGTGAGGACTTACTGCTCCTCAGGGCCCAAGAGGCCTGAAGCCAAGTCTGCCATAGAAATGGCCATGGGCCTCCTTCATCGGCTCACAGAAACTGGGACTGTGATGGGAAAAAACTCCCTTCAAAAAGTGTCTGCAACATGCAAGAATTGGTGGGACAGATATGAAGAGTTTGTTGGAATTAATGAAGTTCGAGAGGCTCAAGGGAAAGTAACAGAGGTAAACATGAAGATAATGTGGAATTTTAAAACTTATGAGTTTAGCTATGTGTAGCATAATCACTGGCTGTGAGGCAGGAAAGATCCTCCAAGGAGAATCATGTCTTTTTTTTCTGCTTTGACTGACTGTGCAGGTACTGTGAATGTGTTCCAGGCTATGCATGTAGTAAATGGAGTTTATCTCTTGGATTGAAATGGAGTGTGGTTTGTTTTGTTGTTGGGGTTTTTTTTCCTTCCCCCACCCCAGAACCCCCTCCCAAAAAAAATTGTATGAATAGCAATATAGGTCTGTATGGTAATAAGTTTCTAAAATAAATGCTCTTTCTTCTCAGGCAGAAAATGTCTTTATGATAGCTCGGGGGATAGTACGAGAGGCTCGTGAAAATGTAGAAGCCCAACAGATTAAACTGAAGGAAATTCGGGACCGCTTAGACAGGGTCTCTCGGGATGACACCCAGTATTTAGAACTGGCTACTCTGGAACACAGGTTGCTGCAGGTAATTTGTTGGTACTTTAGCATTGGCAAATGTGTTGAAAATTTGTGTGCTTTGCTTCCATCACTAGTGGCTGTTTTTGTAGATGCAGTTCAGTTCTGAAGAAAGTGATCCGAGTTAACTTCTTAGGATCCTTGCTTTAGTTAATTATTATCAGTGTTTTGATCCACTATGCAAATTGTATATGTTAATGCTAGAATAGGGTAGTAAATTTGGAGAAGAAAACTGTAGATAATGAGCCTAGAGAATTAGTTGTTGTAGTGGTGACCTGTACATGAGTAGTCAAGAAAAAGCTGCCATTCAGTGAATTAACCTTCCGTATGATGAGAGAAACTCTTTCTGGTTAATCTGTGAAAATTCAGCTGCCTTTTCTGTGGCTGTGACACCCAGGAAATGCAGATCAAACTGCAGGAACAGCAGGAGCAGGCTTGGAAGCGGGTACACCTGTGGCAAAGTTCAGGCAAGGAGTGGGTACCAATGTCTGAGAGAAAACTGAGCTCCTGCATCAGTGGGTAGAACACTGGGAAAGAACTAGAGAGCTGTAATTGTCTAAATATGGGATCAGATTTGTCTGGATGAGACTTAAAGAAGAGCTGAGCTCTGCATGACCATGAAAAAGGGTAGAATTCAAGTCACTGCTGTCTGTAAGGTGGTGGTGCCATCTCACAAAGGAAATATGTACTTGGAAAAATAATTCGGAGAGAGGCAGGAAGAAAGGGAAGACATTTGTCTGTAAGAAGGGTAAAACAGAGAATGCAGAAGAATAAGAAGTGTGTTCATCAGATGAAACTATCTGAGATGTCCTTTTCAGTCCTATTTTCAGTGCCCTCTGAAGGGATTTGAAAGTGAGAGGTGTAGTAGGGGTGGTGTCTGGAGAAGTTATCAGGGCTGAAAAAGTGAACTCATACCCTTTTTCTGTCATCAGCACTTGACAGATTTTCATGTACAGGATCTTCAGCTGTGATTCCTGACAACCTTTTCCATTTCTCAATTTTGACTTAAAATGATGTCTCGTTGACTCAAGTAGGATTAATAAAGAAAATCCCACATTTAAGGGAAAATTTCTGAAACTGAACTAATGGATGTTCCCAATTTTCCTTCCTTCATCTGCATCAGGGTTTCGGGGTTTATGGGACTTTTTTAATTTATTATAGACTATATAGCTTCATATTATACCTTCTCCTTTAATCACTATATTTCTTACAGGAAGAGAAGAGGTACCGAGCTGCATATTTAAATGCAGAAGAATCAGAGAGAGAAAAATTCTCTCTCTTCTCTGCAGCTGTAAGGGAAAGCCATGAGAAAGAGCGCACAAGAGCTGAAAAAACTAAGAACTGGTCTATTATTGGTTCTGTGCTGGGAGCCGTTATAGGTGTTCTGGGTTCCACCTATGTAAATCGAGTAAGGCTGCAAGAATTGAAAGTCTTGGTGCTTGAAGCACAAAAGGGCCCAATAAATTTACAAGAAGCCATCAAAGAACAGGCCTCCAGCCATTACTCACAGCAGAAGGATCTCAGTGATGTCATAGAAGACCTGAAAAGTGTGCTGCAAATAACAGCGTCGCGAGGAGTAAAAGAGGGCGCTTTGTTAACTAGAGAAACCAGGAATGACTCCATAAAAATAGATTCACTTTTAACTCCTTTAAACGAACAGCTAAACTACATTAAACAAGTCAGTTCATGTCTAGGGAGTTTACAGCAGCAGTTTAACAGTCTGCAGGAAAGTATCGCACAGGTGCTGTCTGAGATGCAGAGTGTCAAACTCGCGATCCGCTCTAGACCCACGGAAAGGGTGATCCCGAGGTCTTCGGGGGAGGGCAAGGGCCAGGCTTCTGCTGTGAGAGATGTGATTTTAGAATTGTGTGATACTGAGCGGAGACTGGAAACACAAATCAAGAGAAGTTCTATTTACAGCACTGCGCTGACGTGTGCTATGTTTGCTATTACTCTGCCTGTACTCTATATTATACTTAAAGGGAACTGATCCCTGATCAATTGCCACAATTTACTAGATTAATAAAGGTAAACTTGCACTCTAAGTAGTTAGAGTACAAGTCCAAATAAAGCTGCCTTAGCATTTCTGGTTATGCCTTCTCCTGTATATTTGAAAAACTTGTAAAGCTGTGGTCCATCTTCTGCTGTGGGATCCATGTTAAGTCTCTGTCATGTGCTGTGCATTTAACAAGCAAAGGAATTGCCACAGTTGATCTGTTGATTTCATTCACTGTTTCACTCTTACTGTCTAGTCTTGTATATTGAGACAGCATCCCCAAATGGCCCTCTGAGTCCCAGGTTGCAGCCATGTGGCCCCAAATGGCCCCCAGCAGACCCCAGGTTGTTCCCCTTGTTGCTCCCAATGCCCATGTCACCCCACAGCGGTCCCAAATGTCCCCATCAGGCTCTAACTTGCCCCGCTGGGCCCCAGTTTGCCTCCCCACTGCCCCCATTTGCCCAAGACAGGCCCCGTAGTGTAATCAGGTACATCCCCAGACACTCTGACCCAGCCTCAGCCACATGCCCTTACCCAGCCCCGACCCTCAGCTCCATGCAGCAGGCACTGCCAGGGCCCATCAGCTGCAGCCCCTGGCTGCCTCCAAGGCCCCTTGAGATTCTGGGCTTCAGACACGTTTATTGCTGGCACAGCCAAGTGTTGGGGCCCGGCCCCATGGGCTCTGATGTCCTGCCATCCCCACTGTTCCCCTCTCCCCAGCTGGGGGCACAAGGAGGCATCATCTTCCAGTAGCACAGTGCCAGAGCTGAGCTGAGGTGACCCCCCTAAGTCCTGTGCTCCCCCAGAGCCATCAGTGTCTCCCCATGGCTCCTCTTCTTCTCTACCAGGACACCACAAGGCTCTACAACCTCTGCACTGCCCAGCACTGTAGCCACTGCTGGACCAAGTGACAGAGCCTGGGGATATACATGATACACGAGACATGCTGTACAGACGTGGGACCTGCATTGTACCTAGAACTAAATAAAACCAGAAACAAACAAAAAACTTAAGGGCAAAAATTTCTACTTGCTTGGTAAAATGACTCCTAATGTTTTGTGCATGGACAAACTGCAAAACTGTGAAGAAATCATGAGCAAAAGTAGAGAGGATTACACATGAGGCGTTTAGCTCAACGATAGAGTAAAAGAATCATTTGAACTGGAAATCACAAATCCAGCTCCATAATGAATGGTGGAATAAACAGTATTAGGAATGAACTGTGATGATTCACTACCTGTAAGAGAGATGAAATGTGCAAAAGGTGGTTTTGGGAAGCTCCACTGCTGATTTATATATTGAGTGTTTGGAGTGGGAAGTGAGTAACAAGCATTTGTCAGGGCAGAAGTTTGATCTACTGGCTTGAAAACTGGGATAAAAATTCCCATACACTTAGCTGTGTCAAGAAGTGTGCATACAGATCAGTAAAATTTTTCAAGTCTATAAGATTTCATTTTATCATTTCACAAATATTTTTACAGGTTGTACTTCTTGCAGGAGCTTAATGAAAATAAGAAGCAATTAAAGGGGTGTAATTAAAGGGGAAGGAATAGTACAATGGTTCTATTTGTAATTTGCCAGCACTAGTCACTAGCCACTAGCCACTAGTCACAAATGGAATTTTATTCTAGTTTGTTTGGGTTTTTTTCAGTCTAATGACATAATGTAGGGCCTCCTTACTATGTAACTGGCTGAATTTGTTATTCAATATCACTGAAAGTGTGGATTATATATATATGAACATGGTTTTTAAATGCTGAATGTCAGGCAGCTAAACTTGAAAGTCATGGCAACACTCACTGAATTGTACTTGGTGGCATCAAAAATGAGTAGAGATCTGAAGCTAAACTTGTGTACAATACATGAGAATAAAACCCCAAGGATGGTTTACTGCTCTAAAGAAGTCTGGTTTTTACCCTTTTAAAGATGGTATTATGATAGTAGCTTTAGCTCTACATAGAGTTACAGGAAGCAAAAGTCAGTCAATGACTGTATGAACAGTCAATGAACAGTAGCAAATTAATCTGTGATAAATGATTGTTTGAAATAGCCTAAAGTTTGAGAAGAGCTGGAAGGTGTGATACGTATCAGGATGAAAATAACAGGATCTCATCCTTTATAGGGAGTTCTGAAGACTCAAGAATAGATTCCGTGTGCAGCTCTGTACAGCTGGCAAAGCTCCTTGTTCCGAGCGATTACTGTGGTTTGCTTAGTTCTGCTCTTCTTTGCTAAATCCTCGTATGTGAAGTGACAGCAGAATAATTTCAATTAGGAAAAAGCCCTTGTAATTAACTGTGACTATATAATAATTAGGAGAGAAGATTTGTGTATTCCCTCAATACTGGATTAATCATCACTCCGTTGTGGCAGTGATCTAAATGTGCAGTTTGGCGCTGCACCGTATGTGCACCCCAAAGCCAGAAGGTGTGGCTGCAGCAGTAGCAGCCGTACCTGAGCTGGCTGAAGGCAATATCCAGCAGAATGCTATAACATAGATTATATGTATAATCTGCTTACTACTTTATGCTAAACCTTTGTCATGGTAATGCAGGTGGCAAATACACGAGTTTGAACAAAACCAGCACAGCTCTCTGGGGGTGTTTACCTGGGCACTCACATTAGTTCAGGTACATTTGCAGTAGCAACAGTGATTTACACAAAGCCGAGGGACATCTCAGTGCATGTTTCCTGATGATTCAGCCAGGATTAAGTGAATACTTTGTTGCCTGTGCTCTTCTGGGCTACTTCAGTCAAAAAAAAAAAAAAAAAAAAGGCATTCTGTTGTTCTATTGCATACCTTTGGGTTGTTAGTAAGGTTCATAATAGATGAGTTTACCTCTGGAATGAGGGTTCTCAGCAGAAGCTCTCCTCAACAAGTAGGTTCTGCTTGCCACGGCCTTTTGAGACTTAAATTCTTGCTCTTTCTATGAGCAAAGACCTCTCTATGGGCAGGATGGCTCAACCAGCCCTGTGTCCCAGATGTTCATCAGTCTGGGGGGATGGTGGTTGCAATAGCGTGCACAGATCTAGTGAGGCCAGGGACAGACCTGGTTACTGTGTGTAGGGCAGAGGAAGCCTGTGCTGATTCGACTTAATTCCACTGTCAAGATGCAGAAGCTAAGCTAGAGAGGGAACCTAATAAGAGCAACAGGAAGCCCTTTGATAGACATTAACTATAGAAAAATGAGAGGCAGTGGCCTGAGCTAAGCTATTTTGAGTTCTTACTGCTTCATGAGAAACCACTAGTAACTCAAAAGCAAACAGCCTCGTGGCTATGGAAATAACTTTGAATGAGGTCACTGCAGACTTCTAACAGTAGGTGCATTCTGAAGAGAAAAGTTGCCACTCCTTCACTCTGAAAGGACTAGAAAATGTTGCTTATGAAGGTAGGACAAAAGCAATTATATGCAGTGTCACAATCAGGATATATGTATTTATTTATTAACGCTTCAGTTTTGACTGTTCCATTCTAGGATCCTGGTCGGAAGTCGCAGGTGCTGTTGTTGATTTCTTTGTAACTATTTGTCTGGAAAAGACAGTTCCTTTCACAAAATACCTTCCAAAAACAAATACTTCCCTCTTTGTGGAGCTTAGGAGTGGTAGAGATGTCCTGTTTACCTCAGAAACAGGATTGAGACTTGCAGTAAGAGTGAGGTTTGTTAGCTAGGAAAAGGGAGACAATGCTGGATTTGTCCATAATATATTTAGAACTGTACTTCATTGCCAGATTTCTGCTAGCAAGTTATATTCATAACCTTCCTCATAAAACATAGAGAAGTGCAATTTCTGGTGCTTGGCAATTCTAAAATCCAAGAGGGTCTGTGCTCAAATACAGCAGCAGAGCTCCAAGATAAAGGGATTGCCACAAGCATCCCAAGCTTGTTTTGCTGTGTTCTGCAGGGAGAAAAGTAAACCTATGCAAATAGGTGTGTGCTCAGAGTCTCTTGCTCTGCTCCTGAAGGTTCTGGGGTGCTAGGCACTGCTTGTATTCAAAAGCAGATCCTTGAACACTGGCAGACTGCTGTGAGCAGAACTGTAGGTACCCAAAAGACCATAACAAAGACCTTAATGCTGTTTCTAAATGTTCTGACAAACTGAAAGCTTGAAAGAAACAGAGTCAGGTATGAAATAGGGTAGATATAGTTAACCTTCTGTTGGTCCCTGAATTACTGCTCTAAATGCACTTAATTCCCAGAAGCTAGAGACAGTATTCACACATCCCTTGTGACTTTCTTAACCCATCTCATCCCCTGCTTGGAGGGGAGGAAGAGTGAGAACAAAATCAAAAGGAGCATAAGCAGCTGCTAGCCTTGTGATTATCATAATAGTTATGTAAGAAACTTAGCTAACCTGCTTAGAACCAGACATGAACAAGGGCTTTTATAGAAGAGGATCCTTTAGGGATTTAAATATATTTTTTAAAAAAAGCTTCTGAATAAATGGAAATCAAAAACTGTTTAAGTTTGTTCCTCAATATATTTGCGTTTTGTGTGATACAATTTTCAGCTGTGTAATGTTTGAGGACAGCTTTTTCTCTAGAGTTTGTTTGGGTTTGATTTTTTTTTTTTTTTAAGAACTGCAAGATTTTTGTGCAGAATGATCAAAACTCCTCCCGGAAGGGGGAGTGCATAATCCCACATCACTCAGGAGGGCTGAAAGTACAGTAAGAGGGGTAGGAGGGGAGCACTATAACATCCTTAAAGTGCACAGAAGCTCTTCTTGCCCTGCTCCCAAAGCAGACCCTGCTGCCAGCTCCCCGTACCAGCCCTACCATGGGGCAGAAAGAAAAGCTGCTCCTTGCCAATATGCTCTCATGGGACTTTTTGCTGCTTTTTAAGTGAAGCTTGCAGATGTTTTTTGCCAGACGGAAGGGGCTGCAGGTTGGGACTGGCTCTGGAGGAAAGGCACAAAGAGGATTAGCGTTTTGAGTCAGGAATGGGTTGGAGCAGAGAAAAGTTGGGAATTTTTTTTTTTTTTAATGCTCTTAGTCACCAAAACTGGATTTTGGTGGATACAATTTGAGTGCAGTTAAAATGTCTCTGATTAGTGAGATGATAATTCTCTGTTCAGTGAGCTCTAAGCTGAAGAGTGATTCAGTGGGTAGGGTGTGGAAATCAGGTGGCTTTTTCTGTATGAGGAGAAGAGCAAGACTCTCCTCATGAGAGTCCTCATGGGCTCTGCATACAGTAGGCCCCAAGGACTCCTCAGCATAATGAAGCACCAAGGAGCAAAGGTCCAGAGAGGCAGCCGGAAGCTGCCTCTGCAATAATCCTTCCTTTGGGAGACTGTGATCATGCTGCCAGATCCTGGGGACTGTTCTGCATCTCTAAACTTTCAGACATATTTTTTCCTTCATAAAATAGTCTTTTTGGGGGTTGAGGGTGGGAGTATGAGAGACTGACGTATTGTAACAAAGAGAGTAGATGTTTAATGACACTTCTGGACATGGGACTTGTACCAACTATGTTCCTCTGAAATGCCAGAAATGTATGTGGGAGGGAAGTCTGATTCAGACTTTCAGAGCAGCTTTATGTCCTCAGCGGAGATCTGTATCTTCATCCGTAGCCAAAAAGGAAAAGTGATGGGCACCCCTGGAACATGCTGAACTCTATACTTTGCACAGCCCAGGCCAGTCCACTCTTCCTCAGAGTTTGCTTACACCTCCAGCTCCTGTATCACTTCTGCATGTCCTCAGATACGTGTTCTTTTTCCAAACAGCATTTGTGGCTGGGTGCTTAGGGCATAATTTCATCTTTTGTCTGTGGTCTCCAAACATCTGGCAGTCAGCTCAGCAGGCAAATGACCAGTACTTACAGTTGGTCACTGCATGTATAGCAAGTCAGTTGTTAGACTAACTGTATATTCTCTGATCAACAACACAACAGAATGCAGCACATCTGGGGAACACAGAAGTTACACTGTGAGCGAGAAAAATGGGAGCATTAATTCTGTCCCTCTGTAGAGCTGTTACTGACAGAACTCACCCCTAATTCAGAGACAGGATTTTATGCAGTCAGTTCTTGAGGGCAAGAAATGTCTTTGTGTCTTATACAGAGCACCAGCCTCTGCTCTGCTCATGACTGGAGCTTCCAGCTTCACAGGAATAAAAATCACAAAACCAGCAGTCAGTTTATATTACACATATCACTTCAGGCGCTTCTGCTTTATGGTGCTTTTGTCTCCACTGACTTTCAGGTGGAATGGTATGTCCTTGCTGTTTTGCAACTGGAGATAAGTGTGCTTTTGTCACATTCTTCAGTCTCGCTAATGTGCTGGTTCACAAATACTCTGCAACTGGGAACTGGGCTGTGCCTAAGTCTCCCGACGCTGTGTGTGTCCAGGGTGACTCCTAAGTAGGTACAGACCGGGTTCGCTGTCAGGTTTGCTGCTGTTTTGCTCCCTGTGGCCCGTGCCCGCTGCAGATTCTCGCTCCCTCGCACCTCTTGGCTGAGGACAGCCGAGTACAAAGCCTTGTCGAACCCAACACCAAAGTCGCATCGCTACAAACGAAGAGAGGAGAGAAACGCTGCGATTTCCTCCAAAACTCAGTGTTAAGCCCAGCTCTCACCAGCGGCGCTGCGCCCTCGGGCCGGCCGGCAGCGGCCACTCGTTTTGGCGGCAGTGCCCAGAACAGCCTCCCCTCCCCGGGCCTCGCTCGTTAACGGCAGAGGCCCGTCGTGCCGGGGGACCGAAGCCCCGCTCCCGTCGCCGCCCCTCCGGGCCGGGGGTCCCGGGCACGGCCCGCGCCGGGGCCGGGGGCGCGCGGGGGGCGCCGGCCACGCCCCTCCCGCGGCAGCCAATGGGGTCTCGCCGCCAGCCGCGCGCGTGGGGGGGGCAGAGGCACCCGGCGGGCGCGGGGCGTGGCCTCGGCGGAGCGGACGTCTCCTATT